AGGTCGAGCGTCATGTGCAGCTCACGGTATTGACCGGGCCAGATCAGCATCTGCCATCTCTCTGCCATGTGAGGTATGGTCACCGAAGCCTCAGAGATCGCGGTGGCGACCTGCTCGGCCCCAGGCGGGCGGGGCTCGCCTGTCAGGAACTCGCGCTGGATCCAGGCTTGCAGGATCTCGGGGTCGTCCGCTAGCCGCTCGGCGTGGCGCTGGCGGACGTGAAGGTCGGTGATGTCCACCCCGCGCCAGGCCTCCTGCAGGAGGCTCGCCGAGCTGCGGGACGACGTCACGGCGAAGTCGGACACGCCTTGCGCGGCCGTGATGACTGCCCCGAGGCTGCTGTCGACCACCTTGCCAGCCGAGACGGATACGCTGGCCACGACGCCCATCATGGTCCCGAAGTGGGCGAGCGGCCCGGCAACGTAGCGCCACCCGATCATCATCGCGGCGACCGCCGCCCACGTCACTCCTCGCGAGGTTGAGCGTCCGCGCCACCTCGCGATGAGCCAGGCCGCGCGCAGCAGCGACCAGCTGCTCCAGCGCGCGCGCCTGTGCCCCGCGGCCGCGCCCGTTGCCAGCGGCTGCGCCACCGGCGGCTGCGGGTGCCTCAGTGCTGCCGCGCCAGGGGCCGCTGGCGCTGGCGCCTCGGCCTCGACCGAGCCCGCGCCCGCCGCTGCACCCCCCGGCTGCTGCGGACCCGCCAGCAGCCCATCCACCAGTGCGCCCAGTGCTGGCGCAGGCGGCTGGGCTGGCGCTGCCCGGGGCGCTGGCGAGGCCACCCGGCGGCCCCCCGCCAGCGGCGCTGGAGATGCTCCCTCCGCAGGCAGCACCCAGGCGCCGTCCTGGCCCTTGCGCCAGCCCGCTGGCGGCATGCTGGATGCCCTCGCCCTCGCCGAAGATGCCCTCCGGGAAGTAGTTGGGCAGCTTCTCGGCCGCCTCGCGGATGAGCGGGGCGACCCCTCGCTGCTCAGCCTGTGCCAGGACCCGGGAGGCGGTGACAACGTCCACGTAGATGCGGAGGCTGGACTCGGTGAGCCACCGTCCTGCCTCCTTGATGTCCTGGAAGGGGGCACGACGAGCCACGGAATCGCTGGCGAACCCTGCGCGCGCCGAGTGAGGCGCCCAGTGAATGTCGAGGCCCAAGGCTGCTTCAAACTGCTTGAGCCGATGCCTGTAGTCGACGAGCGAATAGGGAAAGAGGAGCCCCTCGGGCGGCGTTCCCAAGACTACTCGGTGTAAGAGGTTCTCCAGCACTCCGCCCTGCTCCAAAATAATGGCGAACTGCATCCTTTTGGCCTTTGTCCCCGACTTGGCCCCCAGGTTGATAACCCAATTAGGCTGCAGATCAGGTCCCCCTCTAGACGATGGCAAGGATATGTCTTTTGCTCTAAGCTGAAGCATCTCCGATGGGCGCAAGCCGCGGTCCAC